TGCACCCATTGCAACTTGGATCCACACGTAGTAATCCTGTAATTCTCCAGCATCATATGATCGAATTGTAAGTACCAATTTCACCGTGCAGATTGCCGAAGTCTTTCTCCCTCACCCCGTACTTGTTCTTTGCCATCTCCTTGACCATGCGAGGCATGTAGCCGGGCAGCGAAGACTCGCATTCCAGACACAATCCGCGGATAATTACAGGGTTGTCATTCTCGCACGAGCAGCAATACTTGGCAAGGTCTGGCTCACAGCCAGAATAGTGGTCACCCGTAGCAATCTGCAGTTTGATGAGCGTCTGGTTGCTCATGAATTTGAGTAAGTACTCGAAGACCGTATTACAGTGCTGCTAAAAACTATAGCCGCATTCATTTTTTTGACGCAACGCAAGCAATACTTGATTCCAGCGGATGACGCTTGGTCTAAAGTCTATAATTACGACTACAAATAGATAAAACCAGAGCGTTTTGTGGTTGAAGTGTTATTGAAAACACAATCAAAAAAATTAAGTTGGGGAAGTGTTCTAAATTATAGACGCACTTTCCGAAACGGCTCATTTGTCAATGGGACCACCGTTTTTGAGCACAACTTGTGCCATACGCGTAGGCATAGTGTTCACAAGGTCGCGTAGGTAGCTCTGCTTGATGCCCTTCCAGCTGCGGATGATCTGTGCCTTCAATTCCGCTTTCGTGTCAAATTGACGTCCGCCTTGGTAGACGGACCACGCTAATTGACCCCATACATTCTCGATGGGGTTTAAATCCGGACTTCTAGCCGGCCATTTTAGTTTTCTAATACCCATGGCTTCAATATGGGCCTTAGTAAATCGGGACTCGTGAATAGAAGCGTTATCCTGTTGGAAAATAGGCTTTTGGATGCCATGGTTTTCACGAAGGTTTTCAATGAAGGGAGCCAAGTAGTTATCCAGTGTGTGCGTGTAGCACACAGAATCCTGTCTCCCCTCTAGAATAGCAATCTCCGTTTTGCCGTGGGCACTCATACCAGCCCACACCATCACGCTGCCGCCGCCGCTCACTCGCTTTGAGTACAACTCAGTGTCAGCCCTGACGTCGTGCCAGTAGTACTGGTAGCCGTCAGGGCCGTCTAAGTTGAACTTCTTTTCATCGCTAAAGATAACGCGCCTCCACATGCGCGTCTTGCTCAAAAATTTCGCAGCAAATGCTGCACGTGCGACCTTATGGTGAGGCTTCATGGCTGGAGCAGGTTTACGCTTGATCCACTTAGCAGCGCGAGATGAACGAAGCAGATTTCGCACCGTACTAGGCCTAAGGACATAGCCGAGAGCCTGTGAGATCCGCTTAGACGTGTACTTCTTGACTGTAGCAAGCCGAAAGACACGCCTAGCAGTACGTTGGGTAACTTTTGTCGGCCTGCCGACCTTTCTTGAGGGGGAGGACTTCTTCTTGGGGTTCAGTAGGTTGCGGATGGCCTTGTCGCTGCGTACAAGGTACCTAGCGATGTAGCGGAAGCTCCTATGCTCTGCATGCAGCGCTTTTGCCTGGCCGATCTCGTCGGCAGTGAGTTTGGCTCCTCGAGGCATCGTTCGGGCTTGTTTCGAGGTGGCGTGTTCGCTGTCTGGCAGGCGTTTGTGGCTGTAATCACCCTAAACAATTTTTAGCCAATAAAAACGATTTTTGCAAGTGCTATCTGGTTTTTTAAAAAGTGCGTCTATAATTTAGAACACTTCC